TGTGTTCGACTCCGGGCTTATCACCGCGATGCTGACCTTCCGCAGCTGAGGTCAGCGGCTGTGGTGGTGGTACTGCGTTATTACTAACCACCTCGAAGACACAAGAAGCGGGTGTGGGAGAGACTGGGCGAGGGCCGCTATCGCCCTCACGAAGGTCCTCCTTGGCAATGGACTATTCACGGAAGGACGCGACGTCGGCGGCCACACACCGCCACCTTGCGACAGTCTCGGTTCCCTGTCATCTTCCGTGAACGCTCCTCCGTCTCTTTAGCCTCCTTTTCTTCCCCCTGGGGTAGAGCACTACGAGGGCCAGACGCTGCATCATCCCCCAGGGGAAAGAGGGCCAGGCACTGCACCTTCCCCAGGGGCAGAAGGGCCACCAGGCACAGCGGGACAACAATAGTTCCGGATAGATTTAAAGTCAGGTGTGTGGGGGGGTAGCAGTGAAAGGGCCGAGCCGGGAGCCCCGGGTCAATAGGATCTCGCCCTAAGACGATTATCTTCCTAATTGTTGAAAGCATCAAAAAGGCACACTCCAGGCGTAATGGAAATTGAGTTAATGGGATTCATTCAGTTGAGCTCAGTTGCTTTGTGCATAAATCAATACTTTACGAGAGAATGTCTCTCTCTGTCTGTTCAAAACTTGAAGGTGAGACGCTGGGGACAAACTTCACTCACATGTGCAGAGAGAAGATTGGTCTGGTTGTAGTGGATCTCTGATGCGTAATCCCAATAGTGGCTCTATTATAAGCGTTTACGTTACCTTACCTTACGGTTACCGTTACCTTATCTTACGCTTACCGTTACCTTACTGTTTACATTACCTTACGTTTCCCGTTTACTTACCGTGCTTGGAGAAATAATTTAATCAAAATATCGTCCTGTTACCCCTTGTGTGCACAGAGATGAACCTGCTCGATTTTGTAGGTAGGTTTACTGTAGACTTTGAACTGTAGTGAGTCTATCATTTACTTAAGAGTGTATCTAGGTAAGGAAGGGAGTCATATCTTCTTTTATTCGGGAAGTAAACTAGATTGTTTCTTCAATTTCATTAAGTCAATGACTAAAATGATCCAGGTCGAAAGGGCGTGATGTGGTGATTAAGATATCAACATAACGAAGCCATTTCACAGCGCTTGGGATAATGCTTAAAAATGACCCAGATTCGAGGGATTCAATGAATAAATTAACGCAGGTAAAACATTAATTGCCCGGCCCTTCCACCCCCCCCCCCCACCCCGATTGAAGATCGCCTGCAATGAGATTCTACACTATACACGATAATTGACAGGTACCTGCTTGATGGGGTTGGTCCGGCACTCCTTGGAAGAAACTATCTAGTTTTCTCTTGAAGATGTCAAGGTATCCTGACAAGTCTTGTCGACACTTCCAGGTGTCTTTGCAAAGTCTTTCCGTTCCGCGAGTTTTGAGGAGCCCCCGAGGCGCACTGGTGTTAAAACCTACCTCTTATAAAAGCACTGGGAAGAAACGCTGTCTTTTTCATCCCAGAAACTAAGATTTTTTTCAGCAAAATAAGAAGGGTGATAGAGAGAGGCTGTGTGTAAGGTGAAAGAGCCCCCGTTGCTTTTTGTTATTTACAGTTTACAGTATGTTTACAATGTATTTTGTGTGTAGGTGTGCGTGTGTAAATCACGAAATTAACATGTAATGAATCTTTTGAAAATGAATAACAACGAAGGGAAAATTAAACAATAAATTGCTTGAGCGCTTTCGTGTTAACCAAAACATCTTCAAAAGTATGTATGTATGTGTCTCTTGCGTCAGATGTCGCATTGCTGACGAAACGTCGAACAATAAAATGGAAAGATTAAGTGATCGTTTCTTCGCCCTCCAGATGGTAGAAGGTAGTTGCGTAGAATGGAAAATATCCATAAGAAAATTAACAATAGTCACAATGCTGTTGTGTTTAATCACATGTGTATATATCATAACATATGGAAACTTCAATTTTAGGTTACATAAAGTATTCATCTGCTGATCAACCGAATAATCTTGCTCACTTGCATATTTCAAAAGGGTGATGTTTGTCTCATGTAATTTAACATATATATGGGTGTTTATGAATGAATAATGTATATGTAACATTCACCCATACACACCAAGATGTTTATGTACACGTTTTGATGTTATGTCTCAAAGTCAATTTTTCCCCCTTCTCGTGTGGGATTTTCTGGAGCGTATTATATCTTGGAATGTTGTATAGTAAGGCGTAATTGCCCTCGAGATATCCAAACTTTTGAGTCACCAGCTGTTGGCCTGGGGCGTCTCAGCTTGGAGTAGTCTGCTTAGCACTGGATTTTGCAGCATTTTGATCGTGCTCCTCACCCTGGGGACTAACTATTGTTACCTGATGTTTAGTGGCTGTAACATTAGAGGCTTGGTGGCATTCGTGAATTGTTTGGTAATATGGTAGATGGTGTCTCGCCACTCCTCTTACTATCTTCCTTTTCAAAGCTTGTAGCTTTTACGTTAGTTTTTTTTTACGTTAGTGTGTAATAGTACTGGAGGGTGGTAGAGATGTGGCCAGGCGAGCGGCTTGTGTAAGTTTAGCTGTACGTTCGTACTGAGAGTACCGAATCTTCTCAGTTTGCTTAAGGCTATTTTTGCTTCGTTTATTCTGCCATTTAAGTGAATATTGATTCCTGTACTGTGCCGAACGCGAGGGTATTCCCGCACGCACTCATTTACGTATATCATAGTGTTATCGTATTTAAATGCCTCGGTATTTTCCAGGTTTAGATCCATTCCGCCCAGTCGTGTTGAGGGGCCCCCACCCCCCAATCCCTTGCCCAGCCGTGTGGAAGCACCCCCACTCCTCTCCTCTCCTGCGCCCCCCCAACACAAATCAGCAAAGTGTAAACAATGCTACATTAGAGAAGCATACGAAAATATGGCAGTTGTTGTAGCTCCTATTGACTAAGGTATGCCCTTGTTTCCCCCCGGACCGTCCACGCTAACTGCTGCATTATATCACTGATCGTATCACAGCGTTTTGGGGATGACAAGGGCATAAGAGCCCCTCATGATTGTAATGATTTAATGCCTAGTAACGGTGGTATTTATTTTCCCCCACGTAAATGGTTTCTGATTGTGTTGTGGTTCGTGTGTGTGTGTGTGTGTGTGTGTGTGTGTGTGTGTGTGTGTGTGTGTGTGTGTGTGTGTGTGTGTGTGTGTGTGTGTGTGTGTGTGTGTGTGTACGTGCTTGTGCGTGTACGTGCTTGTGCGTGTACGTGCTTGTGCGTGTACGTGCTTGTGCGTACGTGCGTGTGTGCGTGCGTGTTCGCTCGTGTGTTTGTGGAGGATGCATGAGCTTCTGCATCTATTACTTTCCAATAAAATTATTGCTGTGGCTGCTGGCGTCATCACGCTTCGTATTGATCGTTCAGCAGGTGTATTGACTGGGTGCTTCGTCATTCTAAGTGTGTGGCTTCGAAATTAAGCCCGTCCGTCTCCTAACCAAGGGATAGCAGGTAGACTAAAAGTGACCCATTCCCCAGGAATAAACCCCCCCTGGCCATGATGGGTGGTTTGATTCCTTTTCTGGGAGGGTGGGGGGGGATGAGGGGGGAGGGTCGGGATTGTAAACTTAAGCTAAACGTTAATAATGGTCTGTACACTTAGCCAGTGACGTTACGGCACCAAATAAGTTATTCATAAATCAGTAAATTATTGTAGTATGTTAGACCCGCAGAAATCTGTAGCAATAATTTTGTGAAATCTCCGCCAAGTTCTACATTCGATTTTTCATTTTGTTTTCACAATAACATTGAATAATTATCCGATTCCAACACGTAACTGGAATTCTCATTAGCATAATCTAATAGTGTCTCCCATTGAGTTATATTTTACCACACTCCTGCCACTTAATTAATTAGTTAAACCAATACTCGAGAAGTCATATACCGAGAGTCGATCCGGGCGGGTTCCTCGGCTTTCCTCCCCTCTACCAGAAGGTCTTATTCCGTGCGACTCCAAACCCGCCGCCTTGGGGCCTTTCTCCGTACCTTTGTCCCCGGCACAAAAGATATCCACCGCCAGGGACCTGATACAATACTTCGCACAAGCCTCCGCAGTTTTCCTTTTCTTCTATTTTAGTTCTTCGTCTTAAGGTGTCGCTCATTAATCACTCGTCCTCGTAATTCTCCGCCAACAAAGGTGGTGCTCGTGGCGTCAACAAAGGAAAACTGGCTATTGGTGTGATGTTTGTCGAGGCAAGAAAAAAAGAGGCCGTCGGGTTATGTTTCCTCAGTGAGGGAAGGAAGGAAGGCAGGGAGGGAAGGCAGGGAGGGAGGTACAGAGGTAGATAAGTAGGTAGAGAGGTAGGTGTGGGTACTCACCTAGATGTGCTACAAGGGTGGAGTGTCAGCTCTTGGCGGCTGACGGGTCTCGAACATAACATGGTTAATCATTATTAACTACTCATTCGTTCTGCTTGTTAAATTTGTATTTAAAATTGTGCAACTATTTTATCTAGTCCAGGTTTAAGGCACAGAACAGGAAATATCAAATGATAAACCTGAATAGTACACAGGCTTCACTTTAAATACTTGACAATTCCAAATGAAACTGGACTGGATGAAATAGTTGACCACATAACCCGAATGCACTCGGGCACGGGGTTGAATGAGTTCATAAAGACTCTCCCATGCTTTTGTAGTGTAGTGGTACAGTGGTACAGCACTCGGCTTTGTGGGTGGTGGTACAGCGGTACAGCACTCGGCTTTGTGGGTGGTGGTACAGCGGTACAGCACTCGGCTTTGCATCACGCGGGCGGAGGTTCTAGTATATATATATATATATATATATATATATATATATATATATATATATATATATATATATATATATATATATATATATATATATATATATATATATATGTATGTATATATTATACGTGTTTGATTTGGAGTGTGTATGATGACGAGTGTTGCCACATTGGCAGTGTAGTAACAGATATTTTGACCCGTCCCCAGAGCGTGCTGCGGGAGCTGTCCAGTCAGATGTGGACGGCCACTGAGGGTCGCGCCTCGCTGAGGGAAGTGACGGTGGCGCTGCCTCGCACCTGGAGGACGGACGCCCTCACCTGCTCCCTCCTCACCCCTCTGCTAGTGTCGTCGGCGCCCACTGAGGGCCACATCCGCATCACTGAGCCTCACCCTGTGTTCGGGGCGCGACCCTGGACACAGCAGAGCCAGGGCTGCGGCCGCCCGGGGGACTTCATCCAGCTGAGTGGTGACCTTCTTCGGCCGGTAAGCAACGACTCGCACGCCCACGCCGCCCGCTTGCTACTGGCGGAATGGGCCAAGTTCCGGTGGGGGGTGTTCGACGAGCGGGGCCACGCCGGCGACCCGCTCTTCCCGCCCACTTACCGCGACCCGACCAACGCCCAGTGGACGGCGACCGGCTGCGCCGACGGGACGGTCAAGGGCAACACGTGTGACCCCGCCCTGTCGGGGTGTTCCTTCCTCCCTGACCTCTACACCAACAGTCACCTCAGCACCTCACTCCTCGCCTTCCCTGACCTTCCCTCGGTGAGTCCTAGTACAGCTCTGGTTTGTTTACTCTCTCTCTCTCTCTCTCTCCAGCGCCTCCCTCAACACATAGGTGGATTAAGACTAATGAGAGGGAGTGAAGCGTGTCAGTGAGAGGCATTAATTACGACACAAAGTACAGAAGGTAATGTGCGAGGCACCTGCCTCCTTCTTGGGTAACTAACTTGCCCTAGTGGGACCTCACTTGCCTATTATCTTTACTATTTTTGCTGTTGCATTTTGTATAACTTTTCGATGTAAGGCTTTTCAGCATTTGATGAATTCATAAGATCCATCATTCTTTTGTATACAAGTAATAATTGACAGATGTTTGATGTAGTTTATTATGCGTTAATATTTTGTTGCTATATTTTAAAATATTTTTGTACGTTTAATCTTCATTCGATTTACAATTATGAAATTGGCGTGATAGCAAGACCAATTTGGTGAGGTAAAATTGGTACCTTCTTGCCCGACCTCGTGACTGCCTCAAGCTGATGTGGCTTGCAATATTGTTAAGCCAATACCGCGTGTGTACTCACCTAAGTGTGTTTGCGGGGGCTGAGCCTCAGCTCTTTGGCTCCACCTCTCAACCCTCAGTCGACTGATGTAGAGGTTCCTGAACCTCTTGGAGTCTGTGGTATCTACAGTTAAAGCTGTGTTCGAAGCCTGTCGACACCACTTTGTATCTGACTCCGTTTGTTGACAACTTTGACACTGAACAAATTCTTTCTAATGTCTCTCTCCTAACTGGGTGATGACCCTAACCTGTCAGGTCAACTACCAACTCACTCCATATTTTTACAAAGGGCGTATCCTCCCTTCTAGTGAACTACAACATTTCATGTTAGATCTATGGTCTTCTATATTAATAGTTCTACTGTTACACTGAGTCACCTCTATCGTTTATTAACTATTCCAAACAGTCTGTTCTTGTCTCCCGTTTCGTCGGAGATTATATTGTGTGGTAATATTTGTCTTGATTCTCCTGTCGTCCAATGATGTGAGGTCTAAACCCCTATTGGCTTTTCTTTGTTGCTCATATATCTCGGATCCGGAACCTGTCTGGTGTTATGCTTATGGACCTTCTCCTGGTTAGTTGTGCTTACCGAACTATAAGAAGTTCGTGCTAATGAGAAGTTCGTGTTACTTCTTCTTCCTTCGTGTTACAGTGGTACACAAAGTCCTGATTGACCCTTGATATAGATTTTTAAAACCAGTTCTTATGATGGCCAACCTTGGATATGCTGTTGATGATGATATCCGTTTGGTGTTGTCTTCGGGAGAGAGGATCGGTGTGATATCAACCCCAAGGTGTTTGTTTTTCTGATACTAAGTTTGTTACGTTGTTTCTGGCCTCCTGTTCTTAACACCCAGCCTCGTTAATTTGAATCTAGCTAAATTACTTTGCACTTTCTCGAATTGAAATCTTGGAGCCTTTTATTTTTTACAGTTTTTAATTTCTCAAGGCCGTCTTGCAGTTTCTTGAATTCTTTTATATTATTTATACCTATTTTAATTTTGGGAGGGTAGACATAGCCTCAGCTACTCTATATCCTTTTGGGAAGTATTTTATCACTTCAGTAAACTTACTTGAACTTGAATTACAATTCCGATATAATCGTGAACATTGAGAGTAAGGAGTCTGTTCCTTCTGGGAGATCATTTATATCACTTAGGAACAACATAGGGCCTAGTAATTCCTCCTGTTGTACCCAGCTGGTAATATTTCGCTTCTCTGAAGTCTCCTTTCACTGTTGCTTAGACATTTTCTTGTGCACTCGATCACTTTCCCTGTCTCTCCTGCCTGATTATTTATCGTGTGCACTAATGTCTTGTGAGCTACTGTGTCAAAGGCTTGCTGACAATACAAATATTATATATATATATATATATATATATATATATATATATATATATATATATATATATATATATATATATATATATATATATATATATATGCAATTGACGATCACAAAACACTGATCATTTTATGCGGAAAATCCACAGAGAAATATGAAATGAGGTGAACGTTTCGGCTTGTTAAAGCCTTTGTCAACACCAGACTCAAATGAGTCTGGTGTTGACAAAGGCCGAAGGTGTTGACAAGCCGAAACGTTCACCTCATTTCATATTTCTCTGTGGATTTTCCGCATATATATATATATATATATATATATATATATATATATATATATATATATATATATATATATATATATATATATATATATATATATATATATACACCCACTCAACTCTTTGACCATGTCGTAGCTCAGTCGATTAAGGCAGCGTCTGGGATGCTCCCGGACGTATGTTCGAATCCTCGTCACGGGCCCTTGTGGATTTGTTCATATATATACAGTATTTGGCCAGGCTTATATGGCTTGCTTGGTGTCTGTCACTAGTCGTGTGATATTATGAAGATAGCGCGGTAAGGTTTACCGCACCTGTACCTAAACTGCGGTTGTGTTTTATAGGCTTTTCTCACCAAATATAATGTAGGTTAGATTTCGTTTGAGTTATTACTGTGTTCATTTGTTTCGCATATGTGTTGATGATGAGTTTGCGTGTGGGGCCTCGGTGCTAGACTGGAGTTATAGAAGCGCTCAGATTCTGATGTCTTTCAGGAAGCCGTCTCGCCATATATTATTATGTGGATTTAACCTTGGCTCCTGGATCCCGTCTCTGCCTTCAATCAACTGGTGTATAAGTTCCCGAGGTCCGTGTGTTACAACGTGTCCACTTGTAAATTTATGCTTGCGAGTCTGAAACCAAAGCTTCACCTCCAATATAGTTCGAGTTTTCCACTACCCTGAAGGTGATGGTTTGTAATATTCCTGAAAGTTCGTTATAACAATTCATTGTCATTCGCGTATTTTTATTTTGGTTGAATGATTGTTGCGTTTTATGGTGTTATCTGATTATTTGCACGAGTATTTGGTACGTTGTGAACATGTCTAACCTCATTTTTATTTGACCAGGCAACGTGCGGTTGACTTCATTTAGTTATATTAATTTTATACTTTTTAGCTCTGAGACGAGCCAAGTGCGTTCACCTTATAGTTCTCCCCAGCCAAGTTGTGTACGTTGTTGTTGCTTAAGATTCAGTTACTGGGAACAAAACGTTCCAAGTAGCACGGGCTATGGTGAGCCCGTAGTGGACTTACCTGGCACAGGAGCGGGGCAAGTAGCACGGGCTATGGTGAGCCCGTAGTGGACTTACCTGGCACAGGAGCGGGACTGTAACTGTTGTGTACGGGACGGACCAGGTTGTGGCTATGTGTTACACCTCGCCTGAAGAACCAGTAAGAGCTGTGTGTGTGGTGTACTGCATCCTGAATGACTCTGTGTTCTGAGCTCCAACGACAATTCTTACATTAGCCAGCTTTTCATATATTGTTGACCAGACCACACACTAGAAAGTAAAGGGACGACGACGTTTCGGTCCGTCCTGGACCATTCTCAAGTCGATGACCAGCCATTGATCATTGAAGGGACGACGGATCGTCGTCCCTTCACTTTCTAGTGTGTGGTCTGGTCAACATACCTCAGCTACGTTATTGTGTTTCATATATCTTTCGAAACTCTTTTTTTTTTTTGTTGAGGCGTTCGACGTGTTTTAATCGATCAATGAATTAATAAACCCTTGACATCACTCAGGAGATAGCTCGATATCCGCCTTTGGGTATTTTTCTTTCAGACTCTTGGAATTCCTTTTCTTTACTACCTTGCATTTACTGCAGTTAAAATCTAGCCACCACTTGGCAGCCATGCTCGCAATTGTGTAACGGTAATTTACGCTTATAGCTGGTGTCCTCATTAGTCTTGCATCACCCGTAGTTGTCCACACAAAGGAGTCCGACTCCTCCGTGGATCGTTGGCTTTTTCAAAAATCTTAGGAATACAAGTGCTGACCCAAGAGGGGACTCCGCTAGTTCTTTCAGTCCTTCTTCTCTCACCATGACTGCTGTTTCTCAATGTTGCCAGATAGTCTGCTGTATGTGTCTATGTACCCACGTGTGTGTGTGTGTGTGTGTGTACACGCGCGTGCTGAGAGTGACTTGAGAGGGGTAGCGTGACACATGTTTACTGAGCACTTTGTCGCGGGCATTAGCAGGTGTGTGTGTGTGTGTGTGTGTGTGTGTGTGTGTGTGTGTGTGTGTGTGTGTGTGTGTGTGTGTGTGTGTGTGTGTGTGTGTGTGTGTGTCTGCGTGCGCCGCCGCCGCCGCGCAGCGGGTCCAGCTAGAGCGAAGGGGAGTGACAACCGAATTTATGACCAAACAACCGTTGTATTTACTAGCGATGATGGCCGCGTGGCGCGTGATGAACACGTCTTTTGTGTTTACTCTACATTCACCTCGCTTTTTGGGGGGGTCTCTCTTTGTGGAATATTGAAACTTCATGCCGGGAATAAAATACGTTGTTGCGTTTATAAATGGATTCGGGTTAAAGCTGGATATTGCTAAATAAATATAACTTTGTCCGAGTGTAACGTAGGAGTTAACGCCATGCGCCGCTGCAAATTGATTCACTTTTATGTGTTTGTTGAAAGACAGACTGGGGGAAGGAATTTATGGGTTGATAGTGTGTATACGTAGTTATTTATGCCTGCATGTACGCCTGTACTTCTGGAGTGGTTTTCCGTTTTGTTGGTGTGAAAATGGCCCTTAAACATTGACCTGTCATCAGTCACAGGTTGGGAGCATCGATCATAGAGCATGACGTCAATCACGCATTGTGGTGGCATCAATCACAGGGTGGGTCGTCTGTCACACAGTTTGGCATCAATAATACGGTTGATTGATGCTCTCTTCCACTTACTATTGGGTCACAACATTAACCAGCTTGTTCTCGCACACAGTACGTCGTATTTTGTTTACGGAAATTGGGTAGTCCGTTAAAAATGCTACCTATTATTAAACATTAAAGCACGGTAATATTTGACGTTTTCTATGCATCGGTCTCGATGGGTTGGGTGGGTTGTTTGGGCTCGTGCGTTTCAGGTTAGGGAAAACAGTTAGATTTTTTACGGAGTGGTAAATCAAGAGAAAGGTCAGCACTGGGAAATTTGCCCCTCCCCTCTCCCTGTGGACCAATCATAACTACTCCCTCCAGTGGACGAATCAAAACTCATTTCAATCTACTACTGGATCAGTGATTGAAATATCAACATTTAATACATATTCGGTATTACAGAAACACATTACATGAAAGCATTACATCACACAAGTTCTGGGGAACACCCTCGCTTGACTTCCTTAATGTGATATTAACTTACCATCACCGTTAATATAGGATAAAAATACTACTTGTTAAATACCAGTCATTACACTACTTGTCAGGTGTGGAACAGCCGCCACCATCTACTACGAGGTATCAGGTGTGGGACAAGAACACCACCTACCAGGTATCAGGTGTGGAACAAGTACCACCTACTACGAGGTATCAGGTGTGGAACAAGCACCACTACCAACCAGGTATCAGGTGTGGAACAAGCACCACCTACTACGAGGTATCAGGTGTGGAACAAGCACCACCACCTACCAGGTATCAGGTGTGGAACAAGCACCATCACCTACCAGGTATCAGGTGTGGAACAAGCACCACCTACTACGAGGTATCAGGTGTGGAACAAGCACCACCACCTACCAGGTATCAGGTGTGGAACAAGCACCATCACCTACCAGGTATCAGGTGTGGGACAAGCACCACCTACTACGAGGTATCAGGTGTGGAACAAGCACCACCACCTACTACCAGGTATCAGGTGTGAACGGAAAAATAAAAACAGATTTGGAGAAGGTAGGACTGCAACGTTCCGCCTGGACCGTGCCCTGCGCTCCGCCCTCCCCTGGGAAAGGTCAAAATTGAATTGCCCGCCGAAGTGCGAGTTTATTGGGCAGCGTTACTCATCCTGCGAGTGAACGTTCCGCCGTACCTGCCGACACAACACTCTCCCAAACTCTCACAAGGAAGAAAAACCCCGGTTGTTCATCCTTCCACTTCCAGTCGAACGCAGCTGAGCTTCGCATCACTGCCTGAAGGCAACAGTCAAACAAAGGAATTAACATGTATAAATCCTCAAACATACGTTATATAGATGGTGAAAAGTTGGTATAATCTGTTAGGGACAGTTTCTGTATTTTAAGTAACGTGTGTCTAAGGTAAGGCAGTCTTAAGTAGTGGTCTACGTGATGAGGTTTTGTCGTGGTGTAGAGTGTGTGACTTCTCTGGTCAGCGATCGCTTCCATTCCAGCCTGAGTGACGGAAGATGTCGGCTGTAATTGCCTTGCACCGGCGTTCATATTCACTGACTTGGTCTTCTTTCCTGGTGATAGTTCGGATTTGTTAAAGGATCTTGCTGGTGAAGTGTTCTATTGTGTCTCCTTCAGCGCCCTCAGCAGCCTAGACATGGGCTCCGTCAATTACTCTGGGTCATTACTCTTCCACTGGACTAGTATTTTCTCCCATTGAACCAGTACGTTCTGCCGGCCTAATTTACATTTGTTTTCGTTCATTAGAATGAAAAAATGGCTAAAGGATGTTTGATGGCTGTATTTATTATACTTCTCTGATGGTCTTTTTCTTTTTCTTTTCGTACAGGAGCAGATGGCATCTGAATCTCTTCACAACGCTTATCTAATTTTATATATATACAAAAATTGTTAGAATCTTGTACAGCCACCAGCACGAGTAGCGTTTCGGGCAAGTCCTTAATCCTAATTTTCCCCGGAATACGACCCCGCCGAATCCTTTAACCAGGTACCCATTCACTTCTGGGTGAACAGAGGCGTACAGTTAAGGAATGGCGCCTAGTCAATCCTCCCCCGTCCAGGATACGAACCCAGGGCAAATCGTTCGCGAAGCGCGAGTGTCATACCACTTACCAGGAGTGGCAATCCAAGATTAGTTACTCCCTCAGGCTGTGAACCCGGTCGCATAGGCAGAAGTAAATGGGATACAGACTCAAGTAAGATCTTGGATTTTCAGCAAACACTGAAGCCATACAACGGGATCAAACCCGTGTCCGTGTACTCCTCGGGCACACGTACTACCGACTGAGCCATGATGGGCTTAAAAAGGTAGTATACCAAGGAGTCCGGCCGGGATGCGTGTTCGATCCCATCTTAGAGCTTCAGTATTTCCCTCGTAGATATGTCTCGGAACTGTGATTTCTTTGTAAATACTGGATTATTAATGTTATAAAGCAATATATTTTTTTTTATATCGAGACGGGGCGCTGTTTTAGAGTCTTGATTAAACTTTTTTTTCAAGATACACATTTGTTATGCCTATTATAAGACCACTTTTTTTTAGACTAAATATTTTATGATATTGACTTTAGGATCAACGTTTTAGGGCTTCTGTTCTACAGTTAACTAGAAGGGGTACCCGCCGGTGCCTGGGATAATTAAGCATTAATGTAAAGGCCTGTACGGAAACCTCGTCACTTTATAAATATGATGATTCAATATGACATTTGTTATAAATCAGTTTACATGTGATGGTTGACATTGAATTTTAACCCTAGATAACAGCACTTGAGATTGTGTAATGGTACAATGAGTGTAAATAGGATATAGTTGTATTTAACCTGGGAAGGAAGATTGTGAAGAATTGAAGATTGCGATTGGTTGTAGAATGTGAATGTTGTAGAACTGTGATGTTGGGCGATTGGGAAGGTTGTAGATTAGGAGATACTGAATCAGAGTGTGTCAAGAACTTCAGTTGTTCATATTCTTTCGTTGATAACGATAAGTGTTAAACATGCATTTATTCCTCTCTCTCTCTCTCTCTCTCTCTCTCTCTCTCTCTCTCTCTCTCTCTCTCTCGCAGCCATTCTAGCCCCACACACATGTTAATACTGCATGCCTCAGTAACATTTAAAATCCATACGAATCTGACGACCGCATCTGATGCCCTTTAAAGCTCAGGATTAAGAATTTACTTTTTATGTGAAGCCAGCTGGTTTCCGGGGCTGCCATTTTGGGACTTTCATTAAAATAGTATTGCTGTAGTATAATATGTGTCATTGGGAGCCTGCCATATGGCCACTTTCCCATAGGGCGCTGTTTTAGAGTCTTGATTAAACTTTATTTTGAAGATACACATTTGATAGGTCTGTTATAGGACCACTTTTTTTTTAGACTAAATATTTTATGATATTGATTTTAGGATCAACGTTTTAGGGCTTCTGTTCTACAGTTTACTAGAAGGGGTACCCGGCGGTGCCTGGGATAATCTGCTACACTTCAGGCATGATAACTTTATTGCATTTTCAGGCTATATAAAGCCATTTGGCAGCATCCTGGATTTTTGTTTTTGTCATCTAAACTCAACCCGACTAGTTAAACATCCCACATTACCCCCCTCCCCCTTTAAAAAAAAAAAAGACATAACCGGGCTATAAAAGCATAGTACTTAACTCGGGCTCTGAAATCCCTGTGCAATAACCCTGAATTAAAAAGCGCTCTACTTCATCCACAGTTTTACGAGAAGCGCACTAAAATTATCTTATTACCTTAACTATATCACTGAAACAGTTGGGTACGCTTATACATTCATACGCACATATACAAACAAATACTAAACACACACACACACACACACACACACACACACACACACACACACACACACACACACACACACACACACACACTCACACACTCACACACTCACACACACACACACACACACACACACACACACACACACACTCACACACACACACACACACACACACACACACACACACACACACACACACACACACACACACACACACACACACACACACACACACACACACACACACACACACACACACACACACACACACACACACACACACACACACACACACACACACACACACCCACACACTCACACACACACTCACACACTCACACACTCACACACTCACACACACATACACTCAGCTTCGTAACACTTCTGGCTGCACCGAGCTTACGAGCGGGACTTGGTGAAAGTGTACAGCTGGGGGACACGCCTGGCATACACCACGACATAGTCAAATAAGAAGAATTAGAACATTAAAACTGATATTTGCAAATAAACCATAACCAAGAATCATAAAACGCCAAAGAGCCGTTCATTATACGTGGGAATTAAACAAAGAGGAAGATAGAGTAAAAGGTAGAAAGAAAAGGAGGATAGCCAGGAGTGGGAAATGGATGCGTACACGTACGTGTGTGTGTGTGTGTGTGTGTGTGTGTGTGTGTGTGTGTGTGTGTGTGTGTGTGTGTGTGTGTGTGTGTGTGTGTGTGTGTGTGTGGTGGGGGGGGGGGGGTGCGTGTGCGTGCACGACTTAGTGATGCCAGTGATCCAACCCATGGTAATCAACCCCAAGAAAATGTTGGCTGTGCACTAATATTATATTTTCAGAGTTAACCTTTTCCGAGCAGTTTTACATGTCCATATGTGAGCTGTGGCCTAAAGAGCACATAACCTGGAAGGGACATATAGTTGACACTGAAGAGAATGCTACATACACTGGTCTCTACATAAGGTCAGATTCACGAAGCAGTTATGCAAGCACTTACGAACCTGTACATCTTTTCTTGATCTTTGACAGCTTTGTTTACAATTATTAAACAGTTAATGAACTGTTGCTCCTCCTGGTGCTCTGAAGCACCAGGAGGCTGTTTATAACAATAACAACAGTTGATTAGCAAGTTTTCATGCTTGTAAACTGCTTAATAAATGTAACCAAAGCCGTCAAAGATTGAGGAAAGGTGTACACGTTCGTAAGTTCTTGCGTAACTACTTCGTGAATCTGGCCCCTGGTCTCTCGGGGGGGGGGGGGGGGGGGGTTGTGAAGCTATAATCACCACGTAGACGTACTACGTCGTGTGTGACTGTCCACTCTTGTGCCGGCAGGTGCGACTCTTCTGCAATGACAAGACCCACAAACGCGTGGCGCCCACCAAGCACAACGCCCTGTGTGGGGGTCGCTCGGCTTGGCAGATTATCCAGCAGACTCAGGACTTCGCTGGTGGACGGTGAGTGCACTGACTAGGTCACGCACGCACACACACACACACACACACACACACACACACACACACACACACACACACACACACACACACACACACACACACACTGTGTGGGGGACGCTTTCAAAGCGTTATATGACAAAGAGTGCTGGGAAGACGGGACACCACGAGCGTAGCTCCCATCCTGTAACTACACTTAGGTAATTACACTTAGGTGTAAACACACTTTCCAGGTGATGGATATGGGAACAGATGCTTGATCAACCTGTCCTCTTAAGATTACGTCGCTTTCCACTCGTTTGCCCGTATGGTCAACTATGGACGTAATTTGAAATGAAATCAGCTCACGAAAGTGACGTACTGTCCCGTTTTCTGTTTGGAGTCCTCAGGCTTACTCGGTTAGGTTAGGATAGGAAACTTAACGCTTTTCATGACGTTTTGAAACCTTAGGAGTACTTTCTGCCCTCCTAACCTACCAGAAGACCCGTAACTTGCTGTTTTGAAAATCGAAAATCCAAAATTTAATTTGCATTATTTTTCATGTTCAAATTACGTCCATTTTCGGCCATACGGGCAAATGGCCAAATTCAGACGTACTTTGTTACAGCTTGATAGTCATCTCATGACAGATGATGACACTATAAATATAAGGTAGAGTGATCTCGAGAGATTACTCGGACGAACATGTGGCTGGTAATTTTGATGTTAATGAGATGACTATATCATGTCTTCAATGTGTGTCTGTCGCAAGGTAATATGTCATAATTTTTTATTTTCCTATGAAAGTTTCCCCGGACATACTTTGCCAGGTTTGAACTGCCCATTCCTGTTGTGTTAACTAGTGAGAGTGTGGCAGGCTTGGCTGTGTTGTTTCCCGCAGGAACTCCGTCAGCAACGGGAGTCGTGGCCTGGAGCCGATGCTGAGATTCGTCCACCAGTCCAGCCCCCGCTTCGTGTTTGTCATCGAGGACACTGCTACCATGAACCTCCAGGTTAGTTGGTCTCGCATGTGCGCGCGTACATCTAAACCCAAACACAGTAGTAGTAGGCATCCGTCAGTCTCAGGAGACTATGGAGTTGCACTCTGGTTGTCGATCTGGAGTGGCCTCTCCAGGGCGCAAAGACAGGGTAGGTTGATATGGGTCCATAGGTAGGTACAGAGGCTCGCTTATGCATACACGTTAAGACCAAGTATTATGTCATTCTTTGTAGTAAAGAAGGATACCTGCACACAGGATTGATGTTATATACAAGGAAGGCGCAGTAAACATCGATGATAAGGTGTATATTAAGAGCAGAGTTCACTTTTAAATGTTGTGTTGATGGCTACCTGATCGTCAACCTTTGGTACAAGTTTTCACTCAGTGTTTGGAGCACACATTGTTGGGATGGTCATTTAACGTGTAATCTCTTAAGACTAAGAAATTATTAGAGTAAAGGAGCCTTTTTTATAGTTATATTGCTTATTTTTTGCATACATTTCGTGTGTACTATACTCTACGGACATGTTTTATCCCTGACAGCGTCGGTGGGAGTTCCTGCGGAAGGCCATGCGACGTGTGGTGGTGTACGACGTGCCTGATGGCGCTCACGTCGGTGTGGTCACCTTCCACTCCGAGGCGCGGATTGTCGCCCCTCTCACCTTCATCGAAAGTGAAGACTCGGATATGAGGCAGCGCGTCGGGTCATCCTTACCCCGCAATCCTTCAACAACTCCTGAGAGCCAGAAATGCATTCTCTGTGGTCTGAAGGAGGCGCTGAGGGTACTTGACGACAGCAACAAGGGTGACGATGGTGCCACTTTGATCTTAATAACCACTGGCTCTGGCCCGACGCCACAACGGGAAGTGAACGAGATGACGAGCCTTTCAGAGCAACGCCACCTGAGAGTCGAACTGGTGTTGTATCCGCTGACTGAACGTCGCGGAGCGGCTACTGCCTCCCATGGCCTCGAGGCGCTCATCGAGTTCACTCGTGGATCCATCTTCACCGTCATGGACGAAGGTGTCGGTAATGACTCCAAAGTGAAGATGATGGTGGCATTAATGGACGCCTTACTGGCGGCTGTGCAGCAGGGCGCACCTGCTCCAGCACCTGGAGACCCTGTCCTGGTTCACAGCGCTGCCTACCCTGGGGGCATTGCTTCCATGTCCGCTGGCTCCTTTGCTCTGGACGACTCTCTGGGCCCCAGCGCTCGCTTCTCCGTATACTACTACGATCTGAACCATGTGGGCAACGCCATCCAGCTGGCCGCCCCGTCCGGCCACATGATCGCCTCCGTCAACGTGCAGGAAGAAGACGGGGATGTCAACATGATCTTCATCAACTTGGAAAAGGCAGAGGTGAGACAATTTATAAAAAACCCAGCCAATTATGTATGATATTTAACACTTTTACAATAACCTTTCAGCAAAAGGAACGCAATTTTTAAAGAATCTCTGTGAAATTAACTTTGTAAAATACAGTGCTGTATTCATGGCTGCTGGCATACACCATCAACACTCAGGCTCACCATACATTCAGACGATGACACAGAAACGATACAGGGCCTAATTTTTTGTTTTAAATTGGACTGAAGCTTGACAGAAGAGCTAAGTTTTGATAATTACCTTACCTTGACAGAAGAGCTAAGCCTATAGACTAGATCAAACAAAACTAGATAAACGCAAAACAAGTATTGACAAATAAAGGGCCTTTAGGTCTTTGACATGAAAACAGAGGTGCCAGGATATCATTACTACTTTAGTGATGAAGTTGTGAAACTGAATTGTATAAAGGACCTGGTGGGCATGATCAGTAAGGACCCAACACCAAGATGACAATGTATTATGTTCGAAACAAGGTCATTACCCTTCTAGGATTCATACCTAAAAAATCTACAGATAATTTAGATGCAATTCAAGAGTATAAGTGCATGAGTGGGAGTGGTTGGAAATATAAACGAGCTATTTTACGTGTTTCAATAGTTTTTTTTTTTACAGATTCCTTTCTAAATGAACAAATCCACAAGGGCCGTGACGAGGATTCGAACCTGCGTCCGAAAGCATCCCAGACGCTGCCTTAATCGACTGAGCTACGACATGTTCATTTGATGCATCACGTTATTGTGATTTCTGTGTGTCCTTTCTAATGTCCTTTCCTGATTACTTCTAATCTCCCGTGACAGCGTGGACTGTGGACGTACAGCGTGGAGAACCGCGCCGACTCCCACCAGGGCCTCTACGTGCAGGTAACGTCCAAACGCAACTCCTCCACGGGGCTCCAGGTGCGCCTCTGGACCAGCTCGAGCTCCAGGTCGGTCAACTCCTCCGACCCGTCGACGCCTGTAGTGATCTACGCCGAAGTGAAGGCGGGCGTGGCGCCCATCATGGACGCTCGCGTGGTGGCCAGGCTCCAGAGACTCGGCACCAACGCCACCGGCAGCAACTTCCACCCCATGTTCCTGGAGCTGTGGGACAACGGCATAGGGGGTGAGGCCTCACTGTTGACTGTTTTCTCTGGGCACAACAGGCACCGCCTTACTGGACAACAGTGTGCCCCTATTCATCCTACAACTGCCATCTGTAAATTTGTTCAGGATCCTGGTTTGTTAAGCTAATTAATTCCCATTAGAGCTAACGATCCTCTTTCTGTTTATAGGATACCTGGAGGGGTACACGACGGAGCCCCAGTGCCCTCTCCCCTTCATTTAGCCCCTTTTCTCTTTCATAAAATATCACATTAGGCGGCACTTGACGATGGCTGTAGGATTCTCTCTCTCCTCCTGTCTTAGCCCTGACCCTCCCTCGTCCCCATCCCATTTGTCTCTTTTCCCCCGTCTTTTCCTGTCTCCCCTTCGCCTCTCCCCCTACTCCATCTCTTTATTCCTCCCCACCTTTTCTGAGAATATATATGGGTCTCTTCCCCCACCACCTTCCCCTCCCTCCCATTCTCTCCCGTTCCACCCCCGCTTCTATCTCTAACTCTCTCTCTGTCCTACAATATTATTAATCGCATAATAAGCTCAAGTGTCGACTAGTGGCTCTATAATATTGAATGACAGTATATACAAAATATAATAGTTTCCTCATTCGAATTGTCAGTTGGTCTTCAGTTTTTTATGGGAAAGGGAAGGTTAATTTGAGAAAATAATTTATGTATTTTGTAGGATTATGGCCTTAGTTTGAAAATCAGGAAATTTCGCTTAATTTTCATGAGATCAATGAATGATGTTGTATATTTCTATAAGACTAAATCGGGTTTGATTTTTGTTTAAATTTTCTCGTTAGTGTAGTGGAGGCAAGTGCCAAAAATCGTCGTGGAGATCTGAATGTGATCCTGGTACGCTGTTCCCTTTTGAATTCCGGTGACCCCCGACCAGCCTATGTTCATCCCTTACCGAGCCGGTCGCTCGAGCGGACAGCACGCTGGACTTGTGATCCTGTGGTCCTGGGTTCGATCCCAGGCGCCGGCGAGAAACAATGGGCAGAGTTTCTTTCACCCTATGCCCCTGTTACCTAGCAGTAAAATAGGTACCTGGGGTGTTAGTCAGCTGTCACGGGCTGCTTCCTGGGGGTGGAGGCCTGGTTGAGGACCGGGCCGCGGAGACACTAAAAAGCCCCGAAATCATCTCAAGATAACCTCAAGATATACCCTAGACCATTCCCTCTGCCAGTTTGGGTGAGGCTAGCCCCAAGCCTCTGGCCTCTAATTTTGGACAGACAGATAGGCAGACACTCTTATAGTATCTATATTATAACAATGCCTTTGTTTTTCTGTTTGTCCAAAGTTGGAAGCCAGACGCTTTAGGCTAGCCTCATCTAAATTGGCAGAGGGGATGGTCTGGGGTAAGGGATGAACATAGGCTAGTCGGGGGTCACCAGAATTCAACATGGAACAGCGTACAATAGTCATATTCAGATCCCCACGACGATTTTTGGCACTGTCCGCCAGTATACCAATTAAAATATTTAGACAAAAATGTCAGAATAGATTTTTTTCATATAGAAATGTACACCATTAATCAATGATCTTGGGAAAGTTAACAGATATTACCTGATATTTAAATTAAGACCATAAAATACACGAATTATATTTTGAAAATAACCTCCCGCATTCCACTGAAAACTGAAGGACAACTCTCAACTTCGAATGTGGAAACTATTATATTATGTAGAACTGTCATTTAATATTATTGAGACATAGTGACACTTGACCTCATTATGCGATTAGTAATATGTGGGACAGAGAAAAGCGGGGGTGGAGGGGGCAAGGAAATGGGAGAGGGGGTTGTCCCTCCCACCTTCCCCCACTCCCCCCTCCTGACCTCCCCCCATCCCGTCCTCCCCCCCATCCCTCCCCCCCCCCCCTACCGTTCTCCCAGAACCGCATTATTGGCTTAATATGAAAGTCCCACTTTGTTTGCCTAACAGGCAGAGCTATTTTAGTTCATATATTTCTTTCCAAACAGGTTTTCTCCAATATTATATTAAGAACATTATTGCTTTTGTTAGATCAGATTAAATTTGTTAAAACTAACTAAAATTAAAAAAAAATCATAATGTAATGAAAGGCGTTATGTAATCATTCCTCAAGAAAAAATTTTGAACAATATTTTAGGAAAATTCGGCTTATTGGGCAACTTAGCCTATTAAGTACAGGATTATATAAATATATACATACCATATTTAAACCATTTCATTCACCCTCAGGCACCCGTTTCTCTGATACATGAGGCGGATGTTCTACTGATTGCACTACGGGTTTGTGTTAGTAGAGAAGGACAACTAACCGCTGCCCAAACGGGAATTGGCTATCTCCGTGGCTACCGAGTTATATATATATAATTGGGGTACCACCTCTGGTTGCGTTTGTAGGGACCCTCGGCCTCGAAGAAGAGGATATGTTGCATCTGGCGGAGCCTTGTCGGGCACCCGTGTATATATTATATATACATATTAATTTCTTGTAACTTGAGGCAGTTAATGACACTGGACCATGTGTCCATAGGCTCGTGCTACAGCGTTAGTGAGAGGAAATTAATACTGAACTCGGTGGCGGACCATAACACAGATTGTTATGGTCAGGAATAATTCGAGAAGTGTATGAATGCACCTCCCTTGTGACTTGTGGCGTGTTATGTGCATACTATTGGTTATTACGTTATTTAGATGCACCCCCTACTGAGTTTTTTTTAAATACGTCACCAAATGCTTTATCATTTAGATACAAGGTATTTGTACCAGATTGTACCTGGATGGGGTTCTGGGGGAGTTCTACTTCTTCCCCAAGCCCGGTCCGTAGACAGGCTTGATTTGTGATTTGACACGTCTGATTAAACACTTCAGCAGCATTTATTTTCACGAGCAGTCTGATACGTCTTTACCGTTGATCTAATAAAAGATAAATACGAAATTTTGAGTGTTATGCTTTTCCACACCAATGAACGGGACTCTATGATTATAGGCTACGTTGGATGTTAGGTGTGAGCCCCTATCCCAACCTATCCTCTGTGCTTCCCCTAGCTAGATTAACGAGCATTTGGCGAATGTGTAGGAAGGTCTGTTAAGAGTTTTTATTTATTTATAAAGAGGGAGGGCGGCTATACTCTCTAGATATATCAGAATTCAGTGGCTGTTATTTTTCGCTATTTTAGACCCGGATATAACGAAGGGGGACGGCGTATACTCTCGCTACCTCCCTCCGCTCCCTGGGAGTCCCGGCCGCTACCTTCTAAGTGCCGATATCGACTACAACAGCGGGCTGGCGACTGTAGCTAAGGGCCCACCGACACGCCATCACAAGAGTCTATCCTCGCACCTGCCTCACTACTATCAGCACGGCTTCGACAGTTGGAATAACGAGCAGACGTGCTGTGGCTACGCTCTCCCGCACGTGCACAGTCGCCGTGCGCCGCCCTTCCTGCGACACGTCACCTGGGGCGTACTGGAAGTGGTGTCCCAGCCCTCCCACCGTGACAACGTCCCCCCCTCGCGCATCCTCGACCTGCGCGTCGAGGTCAACAACACGGTTCACGAAATCAAGCTGCGTTGGACCGCTCCCGGGGACGACTGGGACGTGGACCGAGCCCATCACTACGAGGCTGTCGTGGCGCCCTACTGGAAAGAAGCCCGGGCCTTCCAGGGGGACCGGCTGACTGGCCTTCCTCAGCCACTGCCAGCTGGCACCCTCCATACCACTAACCTGCACTTCACCAGATACGAAGAGGTCAGTGCCACTCCCTTCATACAGGTCGGCGTTCAATTCCCGACCGTCTAAGTGGTTTGGCACCATTCCTTCCCCCGTCCCATGCCAAATCCTTATCCTGACCCCTTCCAAGTGCTATATAGTCGTAATGGCTTGGCGCTTTCCTGCTGATAATTCCCTTCCCTTTCCCTCCCTCCCATTCCAGAAACTTGTTAACATATTTTCGTTGCAGCATTCAATGAATAAAGGGGAGTCCTAAGCGTTAAAAATAACGTTACACATAATATTATTGATTTCGAAGCTTATTGCTGACTGTATTTCAAGAATAAAGTTTAAATCTGAAAGCATAAGACATAAACCTACAGTCGAGTTTCATTGACACGTTGACCATGAGACATGTCAGAGTATAACTGTGTGTGTTCGTGGGCAGCTGTGGTTCGTGACGGTGCGGGCGGTGGACGAGGCCAACAACATGGGCGGCGTGGGCAACATCGCGGCTCTCTGGGTGCCTCGCCCGCCCACCACCTACGAGATCACCACCAGGACCCACCCAGCACTCACCACCTCGGGTAATTCCTCGCCTGTTTCTCTCCCCCATACTATGTAACGTGGAGCGGATTATTTGGGTTCGTATATCTGGATATATACAGCATACCTTCAACAGTTGTAGTTCACAGAAAGCTTAGTGATGATTCAATCTAATATATATTTCTTTTTTTCTTTTTAGGAAATTACACGATGCCTTCAGAGCTTGGATCTAATCGACCTATGGGCGTGTCAGAGCTGCAGCTTGAGGACGTGGCTGTAATTCTCGGCAGCATCGGAGGGTTTCTGGTAGTGGTGGCGGTGCTGGTCACCTACTGCTATTGCCATACTACCAAAAGGCGGAAACAACAGCACGAGAAGGACGCGAAGAAGGCGCAGGAGGGCGGAGGCAACGGCAACGTCATGATTAAGCCCGGGACGTTGAGTATGGAGGAGGGCGGGAGTAGTCATGAATCTTTGGATAGTATAGTGAAGGACGCCCCAGGGACGGCCCATGACGGTCGCCCTCTCTCCCCTATCCAGACTTGGGGAAATACTACTATGCTGAAAGAACACGAAAGCCGAGTGTCGGTTCCCAGCGAGGTGGCCGACGATGGATCCGCAACTTACAAAGCGAACGGCCCTCACCCCCATGCGCCCTTCCCTGACGTCACAGTGACAAGCAGCCGACCAGTGTCTGAAGGCGAGGGCGGCGACGAGCTACAGGTAGGCCTGCCCTGCACGCACGAGGACAACACCTCCCTCTGTGCTGCTCCAAGACTTGAATACAACAGCTACACTCCCACCTGGGACGAGCCTCTCACTGGTCACCTCCTCACTCGTGCTCACACCTCCGCCCCCACGCCCACCCCAGCAGCTCACCAGCCCATTCTTCCACAGACAGACCGCAAACGTCGCAATGTGACCCAGGTGTGATGTGTTCTGCATCATCCCGTGCGTCACCACGGCTCCAGGATTTTCAAGCCTAAGATGCTCCATGTTTGAGCTTCACAGATAGACAAGTTTTTTGTACACTCATGAGCCTTGAGGTGAAAGAGCATTCAGAAACAATTACGGGAGATCTTCCAAAAGATGGGCCCTGGCAATGTGTTAGAGGTTGTTGCTCCTGTGAGTGACTGAGGTACTAACATCAAAACTGCAAGATGCTGGATTTCCAGGGACATTTAGATTTCCAGATTCTCCCGAAGAAAATGTAAACATTTCCTGAGTATTTTAGTAGCCATACAACTCGCATAAAATGACGATGACTACATAAAACTGTCTCTGTGAAAAGCCAAATCAGACATTAATTTTAAGGAAGTGTAGACGAGTTAAATAAGAGACTTGTGACCTGATCAACGTGAACTGTTGTGTTATCTGTGTCTCGAAGCTCATCCTAGAAGTCAACTATGTCAGTTATTATTGGTTAATATAATGGTTTCTGTTCTGCGCCATCATCACATTGCTATTAGAGCTGTGTGACTGAATGCTGACTGAGCGAAATGTTGCAACTTGAGTGAAGTTGTTGAGCATGAGAGCGTGCTAGGGACCAAAATAAAATGCATTTCGCAGTGTAATGAGAAAAATCTTTATATTTCCAGTTAATTTGGTTATCTCTGCGTGGGAAAAGTCATATCATTGCATATGTAATTATAAATTTAGGTTATTCAAGATATACATAGGCTTAATGTTCTATGTGATATACATATATGTAAATAGGTGGATGTGACTGGCTGTGTTTAACCTATATTTATACAACTGTTTCAACCCCCCCTTTAATAGTTCTCTCTCTCTCCCTCTCTCATTCGAGACAATTGTTTCAGTTACTACCTCCAAATGTTCCTATTTCCTCTCCCCCTCTCTCTTTCTCCCTCTCCCTCACCCTCTCTTTCTCCCACTCCCTCTCCCTCTCATCGAAGGTAACTGCTCCAGGCACTACCTCTCTGTATTTCTCCTCCGTATTGTTGACCTGTTGCCTAACCCTCTCCCTCAGACCTAAATTTTTATGCTGGCAAACAAGTTTTGTAGTTTTTTTTTGTCAACAGTTTTCTTGAGGAAGCAGTCAAGACTTAAACAGGGTGTTCTGCTTTTTATGTTGTAAATGCTTGGTGATGACCAAGTCAGAGGGAAATGGACTGCATTAGCCCTTAGACTTTAGCCCCGGATTAATTAGTGTTTCACTATGGCGGAGAGGATTATGGGAAAGATTTAATTCTGCAGACCAACATCCAATGTTTCAGACCATTTTTACAGACAAATGTATGGATATAGAGATGAAATGATTATATATATATATATATATATATATATATATATATATATATATATATATATATATATATATATATATATATATATATATATATATATTTTAAAGGCTTTTGTCATCACGGTGGAAGATAAATACGAGATAACAGGCAGATAACACAGCCTCATTAGTATCTAGAGCTGGGTTACTACGAAGCTTTATTTGCCAACACTGGCTGCTTTACAAGAGTTAAAATAGTACCATACCTGACGCTGATACGCCTTTCCCCTCCCCCCCCCCCGCCTTCCCCTTTCCCCTCGTCCCATTAGAGTTTCAGTGTTAGTAGATAAGCCTTTATGTTGCTTATGAGTGAGTCGGGTGCCGCTCTCTCTCGACCCCCGAGGAGGCATTACGATTATTTTCTTACTGTGGGATTTCTGGGGTGTTGAGTGTGTGTGTTGCAAGTGAATGTTGTACGGTGTTTTGCACTAGTCATTAAAGTTTGCCAAGTGGGTGTGTATTCTGAGTGGTTCTCATTATCCCTCGAGTTAAGCGTTTCTTTGTTCTCAAGTTGGTGAGGTTATTATTCGCCAGGTGGGGCGTGAATATCGCCATCGGGAAGGCAAGGTTGTGGGGTGGATATGCGTGCGTGCGTGCATGCATGCATGCACGCACGCGAGCCTGCATGCATGCACGCAAGCCTGCTTGCGTGAATATTCCCAATATAAAATGTAATTAAAAGTGCGTTACAAAGGACTGAGAAATAATATATAACTGATTATTCAATCTGAAACGAGGCTTGAAAATTTTACACATTCAGCGTAAACAAAAAACACAGGAAGAGACTTCTACGAACTGCTCGCCACCCGCTGCTAAAGTTACGAGTTGCTCCATGGTGAGGACTGCTGACTCGGACTGCTGCAAAGATTTCCTCTCTTCACTCTCAAGAGTTCTGCCATGGGAACATACCCTCATTTTTCCAGCAATAATATTGATGATATCGCAGAGGAAGTCACAATATAGTGGGTGAAAATAACCCAACTTACGCGTGACAAGAAATGAGAAAACGTTTCGGTTGTTCTAAATGATTATTACACTCTGACGGGCGATAAAGGATGGACCGAAACGTCGACATGTTCAATTATTTTCAAGTGGGATGTTGGGTTATATTAATAAAATCGAGTCAATTACAATAATAGGTTAGCATTTTTTTTGGGGGGTGGGGGGGATTTAGGTCAATAATCGGAACCGGTTAAGAATCATCGTTTTCCCTAGAACACGACCTGGTAATCGATTTACATACATGTCATCCCATTATGTGCTCGTTACACAAGGAGAGCAGTGAAATAACAGTGCCTAATCGTTCCCCTCTACACAGCCTTCGAACCCGGGTCGTCTCCTCACTCCTCTTGTGTGGCCAACATTCTGCTGATCATCATAACACATTTATGTCATAAACATTATGTTAATCTTTGCTAATCTACCCCGGCAGAGATGACGTGGTAAGTTATGAAAACAAAGTGTGAGAAATTATTGTTAGACACAGTCTCTCATGGCTTGTGGCTCCCCTCCCCCCCCCCCCCGCCACCACTAAACTGGTTACTGGCAGTACATGGTTAGGTTAGGCCGCCACCTCAACACCGCCAGGACGACCCAGGCTACAACCACACCACACCAAGACTACCCAAGCCACAACCACACACCACCAAGACTACCCAAGCCACAACCACACACCACCAAGACTACCCAAGCCACAACCACACACCACCAAGACTACCCAAGCCACAACCACACACCACCAAGACTACCCAAGCCACAACCACACACCACCAAGACTACCCAAGCCACAACCACACCACCAGCACGACCCTGGCTACGACCACACCACCAGCACGACCCTGGCTACGACCACACCACCAGCACGACCCTGGCTACGACCACAACACAGAAGTAATCCCATCTGCAGCAGGCAGAACCCGGCCTAATGACTGCCGCTCGTGCCTACTCCCGCGGGAGAACTCATAATTTAAAATAGGGCAATGCAATAATAAAGTCCGCAATTTCCCTGAAAATATTTTGACAAAAAGCTCTGATGTTGACACTGCTCCAATATGCCGGCAATATGGGCACATAATCAAATAATGCCCATTAATTTTTATTACCATTTCGCCTATATTGAAATACCAACCGGGAATTTTGGTCAGCCATCCCTCTTTCCCGAACCCTGAAAGGTTTGTTTATATATATATATATATATATATATATATATATATATATATATATATATATATATATATATATATATATATATATATATATATATATATATATATATATATATATATATATATATATATATATATATATATATATATATATATATATATATATATATATATATATATATATATATATATATATATATATATATATATACACACACACATATATATATATACACATATATATATATATACACATATATATATATATATATATATACACATATACACACACACACACACACACACACACACACACACACACACACACACACACACACACACACACACACACACACACACACACACACGCACACGCACACGCACACAGTTCAGCCGCGGCTCACGCCCATATTGTTGATAGCCTTACATTTCTGTTGGTGTAAAATTAATTAAATTTTGTTCGGTAAGTTCGCACTCACTAACGTTGTTACAGGAAATTAATCTATTAATTGCCATAAAATTTCTCATTAACATTAAATGAAACGCATCGCAAGCGGCAACATTTGAGTGTGGAGGCACAGTTATATATTAAAACTATCGCCATTTTTATATCGAATTGTATCGTTGTGCGGTTACGGGCAGCGGGGCGGAGATGGCAAGACTGCCATGGTCCTGTATATCACCCACAGGGCTGCCAATCTGGCAACATTGCCACGTTCAGCTTCAGGGCACAAGAGGAGTAGACATAACTCCCTTCCGGTCCGTGACATGAAGGGGCTATACAACCTTCCTCAAGACGTAAGGGGCAGTTGTAATACGACTTCGACGCGGAAGGATGAGAAAATTTATCTCTGGCATTATAGTCTTCTCATTCAAAATGAGTTTAAGAAAGCACAATTTACACTCTCCAAAAAAAACGATGAGTAAGTGGTGAGTCTTGACTGAAGTTACAACCTGATGAATATTAATATGGTATTAAATGTATACATAAAGAATACGAAACAACAAATTTGATCAATTTAGTTTCAGAAAAGACATTTGGGGGAAAATACCAGGCTGCATATGGGGGTTGTGTGGCCCGTGGAGCAGGTAACTGGAAAATATTACTGGGGTAAACTCCCTGGATTTGTCAACGGCAAGATTAATATATATTTGAGTAGGTTTGATTGGTTATAAATAGGAGCTGCTTCGCATAGTCCAACAGACCTTCTGTTGTTTCTGATAATGTTAGGTTAGCGGAATCTGAAATGCTGAGATAGGAGCTGGTCTGTGTTTCTGGAATAATAATGTATGATGTAATGGGCGACTGAGGCGCTGGAAAAGAACATAGCATCCCAAAGGAAGACATTCACAGCATCCCCAAGGCATCCACAAGGCATCCACAGCACCCACAAGGCATCCACAGCATCCACAAGGCATCCACAGCATCTCCAAGGCATCCACAGGAACGAGAGAGCTGACAGGACCCCAGGGAACGACAGACCTGACAGGACCCCCAGGGAACGAGAGAGCTGACAGGACCCCAGGGAACGAGAGAGCTGACAGGACCCCCAGGGAACGAGAGAGCTGACAGGAGCCCAGGGAACGAGAGAGCTGACAGCACCCCCAGGGAACGAGAGAGCTGACAGGACCCCAGGGAACGACAGAGCTGATAGGACCCCAGGGAACGACAGAGCTGACAGGACCTCAGGGAACGACAGAGCTGACAGGACCCCAGGGAACGACAGACCTGACAGGACACCAGGGAACGACAGACCTGACAGGAGCCCAGGGAACGAGAGAGCTGACAGGACCCCCAGGGAACGAGAGAGCTGACAGGAGCCCACGGAACGAGAGAGCTGACAGGACCCCCAGGGAACGAGAGAGCTGACAGGAGCCCCAGGGAACGAGAGAGCTGACAGGAGCCCCAGGGAACGAGAGAGCTGACAGGGAACTAACAGGAGACAGAGAGATGTTATCAGTGGTTGTGATGGACCGGATGCCATCAGCCTCCCCAAGACATGGACAAAGGGACATGATTGACTTCAGGGGTTTTTCCCCCTACCATCCGTGATTGTTGAATTGGATAGCTAAGCCTAGAGGGAGAGGGGGCCTTAGTGACAGACTATATTCATCTAGTTGTATTCACCTATTTGTGCTTGCGGGGGTTGAGCTCTGCGCTTTCGGCCCGCCTCTCAACTGTCAATCATCTGTTACTAACTACTATTTTTTTTTCCACACACACACACACACACACCCCAGGAAGACTGACATGAACATTGAGCTGGTATTTAACCTCTCTATATTACCCTCAATGTTTTTTTTCTTCAACTTGTATGATAGGCTGTTTGGTCAGTAGAGTTCTGTTGTTTTTGTCAGTAGAGTTCTGTTGTTTTTGTCAGTAGAGTTCTGTTGTTTTTGTCAGTAGAGTTCTGTTGTTTTTGTCAGTAGAGTTCTGTTGTTTTTGTCAGTAGAGTTCTGTTGTTTTTGTCAGTAGCTTGCACAGTTTTTTGGTGTTTTCTTTAGTAATCAAAGAGACATATGATCCAATTCAGCAGCATCTGATAACAAATACAGATTTACTGAGTCTCCACACTTTCCCCCTTCTAATATCACAATGGTAACTCTCTCTCTTGTTATTGGAGTCTTGACACCTCTTATTAAGCCATGGGTTATTTATCGCTCGTCTGCATTGTTTTGTTTAATGATTCTTTCTGCTCGCTGAAGAAAATGGGTGATGTGCTGCATCACGCCTTGGTTAATATATATTATATATATCGTGATATGTATGTGTTATGTCTGTCTCGTTTAGAGTTAATACTAGGGCTAAAAATGGATCTTCC